TTTTTTTTCAATCCCTCCATTTGCATTTAAGGAGCCCTGGTAGTGCAATGGTTAAGTGTTCAGCTACTAACCTGAAACTTGGTGTTTTGAACCCACCCAGCTGCTCCACTGGAGAAGAGCCTGGTGACCTGCTCACATAAATTGTGCTGCCCTATTGGACAATTTTACTCTGTCACAAAGGGTTGGTATATATGAGTCTAAAATCAATTCAACAGCACCTAACAACTGCAGTTGCAGTTAAATCACAGCCATGACGAATAAGCTGGATAAGAATTTTTCAGAGGTGACTGAGTTTATTCTTCTGGGATTCAGAACTCATCCAGAAACACAGATCAGCTTATTCTTGTTGTTTTTGCTAATCTATATGGTGATTTTAATGGGAAATATGACCATGATAATTGTGATGAAGGTAGATTCCAGACTTCACACCCCTATGTATTTCTTCCTCAGAAATTTGTCTTATTTAGACCTCTGCTACTCCACAGTCATCGCTCCTAAAGCCCTAGCCAATTTCTTATCTGATGAAAAGAAGATTTCTTACAAGGGCTGTGCAGCCCAGTTTTTCTTCTTTGCCATCTTTGTCACAACAGAATGTTTTCTCCTGGCTGTGATGGCATTTGATCGATTCTCAGCCATTTGTTCTCCTCTCCTTTACCCTGTGCACATGTCTCAGAAAGTCTGTGTTTGGTTGGTTACTGGCTCCTATGTCTGTGGAACCATTAATGCCGTAGTTGAAACAAGTTCCACCTTCAGTTTGCATTTCTGTAAAGAAAACAGATTGGATCACTTTTTCTGTGATGCTCCAGCCCTGATTGAAATCTCATGTGCTGACAGCTTTGTGAATGAGATTGTGATGTTTGTTGTCTCTGCTTTTATCGTCATTTCTACAACAGCAGCTATTCTGATATCTTATGTTTATATCCTCTCCACTGTGCTGAAGATCCCCTCAACTCAGGGCAGGAGTAAGACCTTCTCTACCTGTGGCTCCCATATAGCAGTGGTGAGTTTATTCTATGGGACTATATTCTTCATGTATTGTCAACCTGGGGGCCTTTACTCACCCCAGCAAAACAAGATTATTTCTGTGTTCTACACACTTATAATACCAATGCTGAACCCTCTAATATATAGTCTGAGAAACAGAGACGTGAAAGATGCTATGAAAAGAATATTATGTGAGAAATGATCTTTCTACTGATCTTTTAAAAACCATCTGTTAGTGGACAAGTCCATTTCTCCTTGTTCTTATTAAATTATTATATAAATATATGTATATATATGGCAAAAATATTTTACTATGGTTTTCACAGAAATGTTGGTAATAATATAGATAAATATATCCTTGTTTCATTAGCTTAGAATATATGAAAACATATGTTCTCAATCTACAATGTGGTAATATTTAATTTAATTTGATTATGTAGATATTAATTTGATTAAGTAAATATTAATTTGATTAAAAACATATGTAAGTTGATTAAATTGTTGCTATTCAATAAATAAAATTATGTTGTACATGAACTCTGGTGGCATAGTGCCTAAGGCATTTGACTGCTAACCAGAAGGCTGGCAGTTCAACCCCAGTAGCTACTCCTCAGAAGGAAGATTGAGCAATCTACTTCCATAGAGATACTGCATCAGAAACCCAAGGTGGGGTCTGTATGAGTTGGATCTGACTCAATGACAGTGAGTTGTGTTTTTTTGGATACACGTATATGTTATTATTTTCCTTTATGAAATTCTACAAAGTAAGTAAGCTGATTTTTGTTTGGAAAAGATAAAATCCCTGTTGCATATCTGTCAAAATTGAATAGTCACACAGAGCGCTTTTGACTAAAAGGTCTTTTCTTTCCCAAAGATCAAGGTTTGTATCCTGGTTTAAACAGATTGCTATTGAGTTGATTTTGACTCCACTCCTATAAAATGTGGACTTGCAATATATTGTTTTGGAATCAGTTTTTCTAATGAAAAATACGTGGCAGTAACATTCTAATAATTTATTTCCCCCTTCTCCTCTCAATACAAATATTGAAATATTGCAATAATAGTAAAAAAAAATTTTGTGTGATAAAAAAACATAAAATGGAACAATAAAATAAAATCCAAACAGATTACTGTAGAGTTGATTCCAACTTATAACAACCCTCTAAGACATAGTAAAACAGCCTCATAGGGTTTCCAAAGATGCCACATCTTTCTGCCATGCAGAAACCACTGACCTCCTGAGTGCTTTAACCACTACACCACCATGCCTCCTTTAATGTGTAGAGAGCATGTACTATATATCACACATTGCTTTTGTCACCATTTTTTAAATGAGGAAATTGATGCCCAGGATACACCAATAACTTGATGGAGTCAAGACTCAAAACCAGTCTGGCTCCAGAATTTTTATTATCCAAATTAGGGTATGACTTGTGGAATATTGTAAATATGTACTCTCATAACCCAGAGTTAACTAGTGCATTTTAATTTGTTTTCTTATCATATGTGTCTACCTATTCATTAAATCTAAATTAATCAAATATTACACACATTTCAAGATTGATCACACTTTAACAATCCTTTTGCATTCTGTTCTTTTCACTTAACTCATTTTGTTTAGAGAAAAATATTTACCAATGTCATGAAATATTGCATAAATACATGCATTATAATGATTTGATACTGTTATAGAATATCATATAACATCATTTGATTAAACATAACTTCTCAATATACCTTTCCTTGTATTGAATGTGGGATATGAATTGATTCAGTAAGTATCATAGTGCTTGAGAGGGGAAATGGAAGAGGAGAGTACATTAGCAATTTCGCTTCAATATAATCAGCTAGAATGTGTACATTTGACTGCCTTCAGCTTGATATGAAACCCTATCAATCTTTTTAGTTTTTTTTCCCCAAGAATTAAAGAGCTAAATTTATTTTTTATCTCTTTTTAATTTTCCAGTTTTATTAGTAGGTTACCGATTCTTGAAGTGAGGTAGAGATATTGAGCCAGTCTTGGAAATATGACAAAATTTATCCTTTTCCTTGTGATCATATGTGTAAATATCATATTCTGTTTTTATGTCCTTTGAAAATTTAAATTTTTGTTATGGAGCAGCATAACATCTGCATGTAATTTTATTTATTTATTTTTTAAATTTGTATTTGTAACAAATATCTATCCATTCAAAATGAAGTTAATGTGTTTCCAAATGTTAACATTTTTGTATTTTATATAAAAATTGTAACTAATACACAATGTGTTTTATGTCAGTGGTGTGGACTGACATTTTAATTCAAGTTCTTTCTCATCAAGTGGCCAAATTTTCTAACATTATGTGAAAAATAATACAGACTATCTGAAAGTTTTTTTCTGACTTTCTGTTTTTCTTTTGCTTCCTTCAAAGACATATAAATAGTAAATAAGAACCAAGGAACCTAACTCTCAAATATATACCAAACTAAATTCACAGCCATTGATTTGATTCCAACTCTCAGCAACCTCTATTGGGTTCTATGGCTGTAAATCTTTATGGTGGCAGACTGCCTCATCTTTCTTCTATGGAGCAACTGGTGGGTTTGAACTGTCAATCTTTTGGTTAGCAGCCAAATGCTTTAACCACTGAACTACCAGAGCTCCTTTTGCCAAACACATAGTGTGAGTGAGTCACTTCTTTTAAAAATGTACATATGTGATTTGTCTCCCTTATCTTCTTCTAATATGGGTTGTATCCAAGCCCACTGGGACAGATGTTTTCTTTCTTTCTTTTTTCCTATTTATTTATTTACTTTATTGTGATTTGGGTGAAAATTTACAGAGCAAATTCACTTTCCATACAGCAGTTCACATACACTTTGTCTCATGACATTGACCACAATTTAGCACAATGCAACAGCTCCTCTTCTACTTCCTCCCGATAGTTACCTCTTCCCTTTGTCCATCCTTCCATGCACTCCTGTCCCCTGAGCTGTCTCCCTGCTTATAAGCAGCCCTTCTTTCTCCCATGATTGTTCTCTCCAAGGAGTGTATCTAC